TGCAATGATATATAGCCCTACTCACTCCCAATCATATCAAACAGGGCAGTGAGCTTATGTAGCCAACACCACCCACCCCTCTCATTTCATGCCATCAATCACAATGGACGAGCCACAGGGAAATGGGACACACTGGAACATTAAGCAGAGAGGGTCAGAAAGAAAGACTCATTTTGTTAACTACCTTCAGGTCATTGTTTTTGACAGGAATTTGTAGGCCTTAAAAAGCGAATTCTGTAAAATAAAACGTCTCCCTTTGCATTGAACTTTGAGCGTCCTAACTTTGCAAATGCTGTTTATGCTCAAACAGCAACATTATACACTAAATAAAGTAAAAAAAGAAATAAAAAAAAAAGAAGTGAAATCATAATCAACCACCCCTTTAAAAATAAAGGTTCCTAAAGTGGGTTTACACAGTGATTCCATAGAACAAGCATTTTTGGTTTCCCAAAGAACTTTTTAATGAACAGTTCTTAAAAGAACCATTTTTTTCCATTTTAATAATCAGAACCCTTTTCCACTATGAAGAAAAACCTTTTGTGTAATGGAAAGAATCCATGGATGTTGAAAGGTTCTTAATGGAATCATTGAGGCCAATAAAGAACCTTTATTTTTAAGAGTATATAGTAATGTAAGTTATGTGTTAATGACAGGACAAATCATCAGATATGTTAAAATAGATTTTCCCTTTATTACTTTTTATTTGCTTGTATGTTTTGAAGCTATAATTAGTTGAGTTCTTAACATTTAATTGCTACAATTCATTATTAATTTGTAATTTAAAAAAAAAGTACTTATACTTATGTATACTTATGTATGTATATGTATGTTTTGAAGCTATAATTAGTTGAGTTCTTAACATTTAATTGCTTCGATTCATTATTAATTTGTAATTATAAAAAAAAAAGTACTTATAAGTAATGTGTAAGTAAAAAAGTAATGTGACCACACCTTTAGTTATATCAGCAGTATTTCATATTTTCTTGGTTATTTCCTTTACCTGGTATACTTTGCATGAAGTAAAAAATACTTAAAATAGTCTAGCCACAGCCCTGTGTCATACTGTGCAGCCTTCTGGCAGCAAACATGAGCTGAACCATTTTTAAACCTGTAAAAAAGCGATTTGGAGCAAAGAGGACTCTCTCTGGTGCACTGAAGCAGACCTGCCCTGTTATATATATAGTAATAGAAATGAAGATCCCATGCAAGTGCTTCTTTTCAGAATCATAAATGTCACAGACTAAAACACCTGCTGACCTTTAAAGCGGACTCCGTGTAGAAGATGATAAAGGGACAGCAAAAAGCACTTAGTCTGGCTCTGCCTTCTGAAACTTGCAATGCATTGCTAGCATACCGCTCCTAGCAAGGCAATTAATGGCCCACCACACACCTCCATTACAGCCATCCTCTATAAAGGGCTGTTCCCAGAAGCTATATGAGGCTATACTGCAATGATATATAGCCCTACTCACTCCCAATCATATCAAACAGGGCAGTGAGCTTATGTAGCCAACACCACCCACCCCTCTCATTTCATGCCATCAATCACAATGGACGAGCCACAGGGAAATGGGACACACTGGAACATTAAGCAGAGAGGGTCAGAAAGAAAGACTCATTTTGTTAACTACCTTCAGGTCATTGTTTTTGACAGGAAAGAGAGAGAGAGAGCTATAATTTAGCTGGGACAAAAACAAAAGAACACAAAACCATTTCAATTAAGAAAAACAGACATGCCCTGTTCCAAATAGAGCACTTAATGTTGACTTGCGGCCTTTGATTTCATGCATCCATACCGTGTCACATTTGTCATTTTACAAATCAGAAGGGTGAGGATGAGTACTCGCTTTGCTGAGTAACTGTGTAAGTGTTAGCTAACATATTTATCTACAACAACAACATTCATCTTTCAGTATCTTTTTAGTTCCCTCTTCTTCGTAGCAATGTTTTTGTTTGCTTAGGGATTCTAATACTAAATGGGGCACAATCCATAGAATTCCTTTGTTTTTATATATAGGTAACCTAACCCTAAAAGAAATCTTTCTGTATTTTTACAAAAATAAAAAACGAAAAACTTTATTTACTTTATGTTTGTGCTGTATTTACAAATTATGATGTCCCCAAAATAATGTTTTGGGAGGTTTGTTTGATTTAGCACACACACACACACACACACTTCACTGCATGTAAAAGAGCCACTTCATTTGTTTTAAAAATAAGACTGAGATGAAAATGAATCACTTTATTATTCTATACTAAAGTACGGACCTTTTCAAAACTGAAAATTAACAATGTTCTTGCTATGCATTTATAATGAAACTTCATATTATTACAAATTATAGCAATGAAACACTGCTATACAACAAATGGCTCTATTATTTTTTATTATTATCAAAACTTGTTGAGCATTGTATTATTTACACAAGAGTTCAATTTCATCCTGGAAAGGATCTGACACCCTGCAATTCTTCAATCAATATTTGAGTCATCATTTTGCAATTACCTCTGTGAGGTAATCAGTTTAACTAATGTTGCTGTTATTGGAGAAATAAATAAGAAAATTTCGGGATTGATCGTAATCTCAGATGAATGTGGTTCCCTGCTCCAGACAACACAGAATCAAACGTGCATGCTCCAGTCAGTTGGAAATTACCTCAATTTGTAACGAAGACTGGAACAAGTCAGCTCCACGTCTGGTGACAATAATATGTTGTATCAGAGATTTAGTGTATTTTAGTGTTGTACTGTCAGTGCTCCTGTGAAACAGTGATACATGGCTTTGAGAAGAATAAAGTCTTAATGTCCAGTACAGCTGATGGAACAATGCACAATAACACAGCTCATTCTTACATTTGAAGAATGACAGTACTACATAGAATTAGCCTCAAGTTTCAAACTGTAATTGCAAAATGGAGAGACTCTAATTCAGAGAGATTCTGATTTGAAGACTGCACATTTCATATTAATGCACAATATTAATACAGTTCAATATTAGGATAATGAATTATATTACTTGGTGAAAGAATTCTTTCAATATCAAATATTTTTAATTATAAACAATTATTGAACACATATCTATTATCAAAATAAAGGGGTTTTCAGACTGTGGTCCAGAGACCCCCAGGGGGGCCACAAGAGGGTGCTTTGGGGTGCATGGAAAAAATTTCATTAATTAAAAAAAGAAGTTTTTACCATTTAGTATTTTAAATATTTACTGAAATATGTTTTAAATTACATATTTCTTTAGATTTATTTTTTGTAAAAACCTTTTTTCTCCAACAATATTTAAGTATTTTTATCATTTACTGACATTTAACACAATAATTGTATAATTATCCTCAATTTGAAGGGGGGGAAGTCGTGGCCTAATGGTCAGAGAGTCGGACTCGTAACCCAAGGTTGCGGGTTCGAGTCTCATACCGGCAGGGATTGTAGGTGGGGGGAGTGAATGTACAGTGCTCTCTTCCACCTTCAATACTGAGGTGCCCTTGAGCAAGGCACCGAACCCCCAACTGCTCCCCGGGCGCCGCAGCAAAAAATGGCTGCCCCCTGCTCTGGGCGTGTGTTCACAGTGTGTGTGTGTGTTCACTGCTGTGTGTGTGCACTTTGGATGGGATAAATGCAGAGCACTAATTCCGAGTATGGGTCACGTCACTTTCACTTTCACATAATTTTAAATATTTACTGAATTTGCTAATTTGAGTATTTTTTATAATACTAATGTCAAACATATATTAATGTCAAACATCCCTTATATGCACTAAAATTCTAAAATTACTACTACTTCAATACAGTGAACTGTCACACTGTGTTTTAAAGATTTTTTAAATAAAAAAGCTCATAAAATTAAACTTTTTCAAGACCTTCAAGAAATGTTGACTATTTTATAACATCACATCTCTATCTATAAAGTCTTCCTAAAAGAGGCACAATTAGTAAGAAGTGAAGTGACATGATGTGTGGCCAAGTATGGTGTCCCATTGTGCTCTGCATTTAACCCATCCAAGTGCACACACACACAGCAGTGAGTAATGAACACACACACACACACACCTGGAGCAGTGGGCAGCCATTTTTGCTGTGGCTCGGTGCCTTGCTCAAGGGTCTCACCTCAGTTGTGGTATTGAGGGTGGAAGAGAGCGCTGGTCATTTACTCCCCCCACCAACAATCCCTGTAGGTAAGTAAACTCAAACCCGCAACCTTTGGGTTACAAGTCCAACTCTCTAACCATTAGGCCATGACTGCTATTGTATTTGACTAATTACACAACCCTTAACTCAAAGAAAGCAAAGCTTGGTCAGACAGAACGACTGAACGACTGGCGCATTCTGTGATCCAGTCAGACAGAGCTGACACTAACATAAACAAACACACACACACTTTAGCCCACACAAAAAGCACTGTGTGCTGTACGGAACACACACACACACACACACACCTGGAGCAGTGGGCAGCCATTTTTGCTGTGGCTCGGTGCCTTGCTCAAGGGTCTCACCTCAGTTGTGGTATTGAGGGTGGAAGAGAGCGCTGGTCATTTACTCCCCCCACCAACAATCCCTGTAGGTAACGAGACTCAAACCCGCAACCTTTGGGTTACAAGTCCAACTCTCTAACCATTAGGCCATGACTGCTATTGTATTTGACTAATTACACAACCCTTAACTCAAAGAAAGCAAAGCTTGGTCAGACAGAACGACTGAACGACTGGCGCATTCTGTGATCCAGTCAGACAGAGCTGACACTAACATAAACAAACACACACACACTTTAGCCCACACAAAAAGCACTGTGTGCTGTACGTACTTCCGGCTCTCAGAAAGAGAGAAAAAACACAGCAGTGCTGCGCATCACATCTGATCTCTCCCACCTTGGTGCTTAGTCATTCTGAATCATGCTTTCAACTGCACCTCAGAAGAGAAACCAGAACAAACGCAGAGCGTTTCTCACACCCACATGCTATGGCCACTCTTTCCACTGACAGTGTTGAGGTAAAACTCACCTGTTTGACGTTGTAGCCTGTCTTGGCACTGGTTTCGATAAACATCACACTCAGCTCCTTGGCCCGCTGCTCACCTTCCTCAATCGTGATTTGCCTGTGAAAAGGTTGAAGATTTTTATAGATTAGTTTATTTATAAAATATTACTGAACAATGATGACACCTGCTGAGAAACCCTGAATTTACAATATGATTTAGTGCTGGTCTGGATACTGGACCAGCACAGCCATGCTGATCACTAACCAAAAATATTGCTGGTTGATACTGCTGGTTAAGGGACCAAGGTTTTGCTGGTTAGCAGGGTCCAGTAAGCTCCTGCTGGCAACTACATCATTTTACACAGCACAGCACACAACACAACAAAACTTCTTGTTGGCTCGTTCACCAATTGCTTTGGGTTGGGTTGCAGATTTTATATCAGATTTTGTGCACCAGCTGAGCAACATATTCATTAAGATGAATGGGAATGGGCTGAAGGATACTTTCTCCAGACCTCCTTGGTCGAGACACCAGTACACCAGCATCAAAAACAACACAGGCAGGAGGGAATCCATGAAGAATAATGGCAAAGAGAGGCCACATTACCAGGACAACACATAAAGCAAATAATCATTCTGCCAGTAATGGCAACCACTATCACGAAACTGCCCAGCCTTGACAGGAGCCCTACAAGATTTATGAAAACCGCAATAATGGAAATGTGGTATTTGATAAAGTGGTTAGAGGGTCACAGATTATGGGTAAAGTATTATCAGACAGCACAGGCTGAGACTGAGACAATGGCATCAGTCATTGCCTCCCTCCCCTCATCTCTACTAACTCTAATTAATTGATGTTGAAACTGATTAATTGCACAAAGGGAAGGCTCATTAATTAAGCCTCATTTGTATGACACACTTGTGATATTAATCCATGTCTGTGACTATGGAGCATGTTTACATGTGTACGTGACGGAGTGTGCGAGGTGGCTGAGAGAAATGAGTAGGCTGAAGAGGAGACTAGCTGTATCTCTGAGCAGTGGGACGTGAATAGGACATGCTGTATTTAAACCACTGAGCTCTGTCTGCTGGGACAGCTGTGATGTAACCATTTTTTGTTCCCTTTTGTTCTCTCCACAGACAGGAGCTCAGAGGCATTTGTGAGTTTACTTAACTCATGAATTGCATTCTTGGCTTGCTGCTTCTCAAATTATACAGCTCATTCTCTGTAAATGGTGCCAACGGTGCCCCCAAGACTTGCTATTGATATAATTACTGTGATACTGAACTTAATTACATAATTTCATTGAAATTCACTCTAAATAGAATTATATCAAAGTATGGGTAAATTATAAAACTAAAATGTTGAAAATATTTTCCATCTTATCATTTGCATCACTGACCAACATTACATTTTAATTGGTAAAGAAAGAAAAAACAGTCAAACCAAAGTGTATTCAGACACCTTCAGACACATTATCACAGTTTATTCGCTATAGTTTAGAAAATGGTAATAAAATATGACAAGAACTCCGAGTTGAACTGTGTCAGAACAAATTCATCTTGATAATGCCACATAACACTTAAGCAAAACATGGCCAGGTCCAAGTGTCTGAATAATTTTTGGTCCCAAATGTTTATCAATTTTACTGGTAGTCCACTCTATGAAGATTTTTTGGGGTATAATATATCACAGTTTACTTTATTTTGCTGTCCTCAATTACATAAATTAACTATAGTGTCCTGCACGCACTAGTTAAAAAATATTAAAAATTATATCTGGTGTATGAATAATTTTTGGTTTGACTGTATATATATTAATTAAGGATGAAACGGTATGAAAATTTCTTATCACGATTATAGTGACCAAAATTATCATGGTTATTATTAGTATTATCACAATATTGTTTTACTACTTACACAATTATTTTAAGGATATATCATTATATTATTTAAAATAAACAGTGTGGTTTTAATTTAGGCGATTTCCGCCTATGATGCCAACTTGACTTCCTTCTGTCTCAGAGATAACATGGTCTCTTCAGAGATGCAGCCCTCTATTCATCCATGGCAGAACTATGAAGGTATTTCTTCTTTTTTCAAAGCTACTGTGACAATTGAAGAACTTGACGGATATGAACATCAGATATGGTTTGATGTGGTTTTGTTTCATGATCAAAGTCCCTCCAAACAGCGCAGATATGTTTTCGCGCCCTTTTCTTATCTATTAAAGAGTGTGAAACTACTTTTCACTTTTCAGTCGCAACCCTTAGGGAAGGCAAAGTGTGACAGCAGAAAAACTGGGAAAATATAAAAGACACCATCATTTTTTTTTAACAAATAATAAATGAAAAACTGACCATGAAAACAAGATGGTAAATGTGGGAAGTCGTGGCCTAATGGTTAGAGAGTCGGACTCGTAACCCATAGGTTGCGAGTTCGAGTCTCAGGTCCGGCAGGGATTTTAGGTGGGTTCAATAAACTTTTTTTTTTTTTTAATTAGGCCCTTTTTAACTGTCCTTTTGGGTTGTTTTGAGAATGTTCTGTAGGCTACTAATAAAAAAGGACCTCTGTATATTTGTTTGTTGCAAATTTGCAGACAATGCAATTGAAATATTTACATTGGCTTGTCCGGGGAATTAAAAGGTGTGTGGACGTGGATTAGTAATCTGGCTCCTTGGTATAAAGGAGAAAAAATGCTGGCCCTCGTCACTATCAAAGTTGCCCATCCCTGCTTTAGATTGATGTATACAGTACTAGGTTGGGCTGAATGTGTCTCTTTTCGTTTGGCATTGGCTCAAGGGTAGGTAATCTCAGCTGACATCAAGTAGCTGCTGAAACAGTTCTACTCGGCCATCATTGAGTCCGTCCTGTGTTCATCCATAACTGTCTGGTTTGGTTCAGCTACCAAATCAGACATCAAGAGACTACAACGGCAATCTGAATGTGTTTTACTGCCGGATTGAAAAGCCCAGTCTCACACCCCACCCCCGCTCTGATCTGCACTTCACACATACACCTACCCCACCTGCAACCCCCCTCAGGAGCTGCTGAAACAGTTCTACTCGGCCATCATTGAGTCCGTCCTGTGTTCATCCATAACTGTCTGGTTTGGTTTAGCTACCAAATCAGACGTCAAGACTACAACATACAGTCAGGGTTGCTGAGAAGATTATTGGTTCCCCCTGCCCAACCTCCAAGATCTTTACACCTCCAGAGTGAGGAAAAGGGCTAAGAAAATCACTTTTGACCCCAAACACCTTAGCCCACTCTCTCTTTCAACTGCTGCCCTCTAGTCGGCAGCCAGGCACAAGAAAAGTTTTTTTTCCCACAGGGTAGATTCAGCCTGAACAATTCTGAACAATATTTCATCTCTACTTTGTAATTCCTATGTATGTCTGCACTATGTCTGTACTTTCTTCTGCACTGGAATTCCTTGTGTGTGTAAACATACTTGGCAATAAAGCTCTTTCTGACTTCTGACTTCTGATTTGTTGCATTTGTATGCATATGTGTGCATATATTGTATGTATTTTAAAAATTCTATAAATGATATAAACACACATATCGCAGCAAATGTTCTGACAGGTTGCTCATTCCTGACTTATTACTGGATGCCATGGCAACAGTCTGAGCCAAGGTTTTTAATATCTTTCCTGTGCACAGAGACACTCACTACACTGTGACAGAGGATCCGCCTCCAATCGTATAACTGCCGCCTCGGTCGTCCAAAGTGTGATTGCAGATTCAGAGTCACAACAGGAGCAGTTGACAAAGATAATTTATAGAACACTACAAATACCATATGATGAGGTGCACGTGAAGTTACCAGCCCATTGTCACCACTTCCATAACTCCTGGACTGTTTTCACACTTTTTCATAATACAAATCTAAGAAATAATAAAAGATATATGTTTGATAAAACTGTCATTTCATCAGCCATTACTCCAGTGCTCAGTGTCCCATGATCCTTCAGAAATCATTCTAATATGCTGATTTTGTGCTCAATTAACTAATTCTTTATATTGTCTCAGTTGAAAACAGTTTTTTGATTAATAGAAAGTTCAAAAGGAAAACATAAATTTTAAAGAGAAAATGAGACTGCTTAATAATTTAACAGCTTTAAAAAAAAAAAAAAAACATAGGCCTACAAGTCCAACAAGAAGCACTTCAGAAATAGTTGAAATTGCATTTATCAGGACTCATGGGATCTTATAAAAACAATCCAAATTGCAAACTAAATTCAACCTTGGGTATTTTATATAATTTCGAAATGACTGTGCGAACCCGCAACATCATCCCCAAACGTATCATGCGTATCACTAACTGGCAGTATGCCTTCACTGGCCTTTGAAAGGGTCATTTATATTACCATAATATATTTTCCATAGTATCTACATTTACACTAAACAAAAACAGCGTTTCCAAAAACCTATCACTGTTGACTGTCTGGCCTGGGCATATGAACGTAGTTCGTCTGTAAATATGCACATATTTTGTTACACAGACGGACGTGTGTGCTGCATGATATAAACAAAGTAATATAATTCACTGCTGTATAACAGCGTATTGCAGTTATAATTCAATATTTTAGAAATTCAGTTGAAGTAACTTTAGGTTACATTGAAGTACTATTTCAGAAACAGAAAATATGTAAATGAGAACTGCTTTATTGGGCATTTAGTTGTATAAAAATGCAGTAGGCCTACTGTATGTAACAGTTCAGAAAGTAAACGCAAGTACAACTTGATGACATCATGAATATGATCATTAGCATATATAAAGTTGAATCGTTATATAAAGTTATATGTAGCATGTTTATTAAAAGCAAGTTTTGTAATAACAATCATTTCGGACCTTTTGATGTTGATGAGAATTCAGATTCAGACCTTTGAATGTAAACTTTGAGAACCCCTGGTATAGACTGAGATGTAATGAACTGTGAACTGTCAACAGTGATAAGGTATAGCTAAGAATGGTTCAGACCAACCTTATACGAAAGTATGACTTACAGAAGGTATACTTAGGTAACTAAGAAAGGGGACACAACACACACAGTTTCCTCTGTTCCTGAGCCACCTCCACCTGCCACATTCCACCACAGTCGTCAGGGAAACAAATCCTGAATAACGCTCATATTTAAACATGTTACAATAGAAAGAGTTCAGCTCTATCTCAGCATGTGGTATTGATCACCATGGTGATTTATTACAAACAATCAAGAGTTTCCTTCAAAAACTTATTTCCTGCTAAGTGTCATGTTAATTCGCTGAACTCATGAACACCATGGTGATTTATTACAAACAATCAAGTTTCCTTCAAAAACGTATTTCCTGCTAAGTGTCATGTTAATTCGCTGAACTCATGAACAGAAATATATTGTGAAACATATGCATAACAAAGTGACATATTTAAACTTTAAATAAATCCACTCTACTTCATGCATTATTATGCAAATTTATCATATGATAACAGATGCAATTAGATTAGATTTAACTTTAAGCACATACACATTACAGTACATTACAGTCAAATGCAATAATATATCAAATTTTATTTATACACCAAATCTGCATATTAGAATAATTTCTGAAGGAGTGACCTGACGACTGTAGTAATGGCTTCTGATAATTCAGCTTTGCCATCACAGGAATAAATTACATTTTAAAATATATTAAAATAGAATTTTAAATTGTAATATTCACAATATTACTGTTTCAAATAAAGGCAGAATAGACTTTTACCGATGCCAAATATTTGTTGGTAGTGTAGAATTAATTTATATGCAAGCAATAAATACCTAAGACTGAGAGCTGTGAATTAGTATGGATAACCTGGTCTTTGCTCAGGAGGTGCAATGGAGGATGAAAACTATCGAGGCAAGTTATTACTGAAGAAAAGAGAGGAAAACATTGACCTCCCTCTGGGACACACAGAGAGAGAAAGAGAGAGAGAGGAAAATGACAAAAGAGAGAGAGACTGAGCTGTATTTATCCCTGAGCTCCCACATCTCTGTAAGACTGAATAAGTGAAGCATGAAATGCCCATTTCATACAAAAGTTTAATTTGTTTGATGGCACGTTTCTCTGATCTGTCTACAGTGAAACATTTGACATTGAAATTTCATATTTATAAAAGTAATTTAATACAGATCTGCTCCCAACTGCATGCTTTTACTAATGTTAGGGCCGGTGGCTATAAATTCAGGCTTTGTACTGATTAAAGCAAGACACATGGAAGTTTTAAAACAAGGGTAGACCGAGAGCAGTGTTGGGGAAGCTCCTTTGAAAGAGTAGTTTCCCAAACATTTCAAGCTACTGATAATTTAATGTAGTTATACTACAGTCAAGTTACTCATTTAAAAAAGTAATTAGCTAAACAACAATCTAGTAACAAAAACAAACTAATTACATCGAAGCTATTCAAGGGGGGAATATCTTTTTAAATATATATAAAAAAAATTAATAAGCAAAAAAAAAAAAAAGGAACTATGTGACATTTTTTTCAGTCAGAGCAATATTTATCTGGCGTAGATTTCAAATAGGGCAACAACATTAACTTGAACATACACAATCATTTGAGGTCAGTAATATTTTGTAATGTTTTTGAATACAGTAAAACAGTAATATTTTGAAATATTATTACAGTTTAAAATAACTGATTTCTATTTGAATATATTTTATAATGTAATTTATTCATATGATGGCAAAGCTGAATTGCGTTATGCGTAAGAAAAATTTCTTATTATTACCAATGTTGAAAATAGTTGTGCTACTTATTATTTTTATGAAAACTTGATACTTTTTTCAGAATACTTTCAAGATGAATAGAAAGTTCAAAAGAACAGCACTAATTTCAAACAAAAATGTGTTGTAACATTGCAAATGTCTTTACTATCACTTTTGATCAATGTAATGCATCCTTGTTGAATAGAAGTATTCATTTCTTTCCAATAAATAAAATAAAATAATAAAATCCTGCTGACCCCACACTTTTGCATGAATATATTTCCACTAAATACATCCAGAATGCCAAATTAACACTGTATAATTGAGTCAAAAACAGTGATGAACAGCAGCATTTATCTAAATCTTAAAAGGTGAGACTTAGCTGGATTGGTAAATATTTTTTGTCAACAAATTAATTTAAAGAACCATCCAAACGAATCAATTCACTAAAAATAAGTATACTTCTCAACACTACATAGATTATTACCTCGGCTCATTCGGCCATGTGTACAAATATATAACAGTAATGTAGCATTTTGCCTCACTTCATTGTAACAGGTTGGGGGGGAAAGTAGCTTGTTATTTTAAAAATTAATTGTAAGTTAATACTAAGTGTAGTTAAGCATCACTGCTTTGACCTAGTTACTCTCCAGCACTGTCAGGGAGAGTTCCTTTTAGGGCAAACCTTCTCTAAACAATGTGTTATTTTTGCATTGCTTCCTTTACCTCTTAAAATTGTAATATTCACAATATTACTGTTTCAAATAAAGGCAGAATAGACTTTTACCGATGCCAAATATTTGTTGGTAGTGTAGAATTAATTTATATGCAAGCAATAAATACAGTCTCCTCAAAAGTATTTGCATACCTGTGGACTCGTAAGCTAAACTTAAAATGTACAAAATTCATTGCATTGGATAACAAAATATTGTAGCGTCTGGACCACTCAAACACACAATATATATTTTGTTTTTATATTTAACAAATACTCTGTAACCCCCCTCAGTTAACAAGCCATATGAGGACCCATGAACCCTTCCCCCCGAAATGCGTAACACCCCAGGAAGCCGAACAGGCTCCTGGTTGCATGGCAACCAACGCTGATATCACTGGGTTTATTGGCCAAAAGAATGCAAAGCAGGGAAAAGCCCTGCATGTCCCAGGGCAAGAGGCAGAGTAGAAATGGACTTTTCTACTAATTAATTCATAGGAAAACCTTTCTTTGAATGAACACACATCATCCTTCAGGTCATTGGGTATATTATTGTCATCATGTATTTGGTCTTTGAAATTGTATACTGTTATGCAGACTTATAATCGAAACACCCTCCTGTCAGCTTACATATATATATATCTCCACCATGTTTAGTATCTATGAATTCGCCTTCTGATGATCGAAACGAGCGTGTATATTATATGTTGGTACATAGGCAATATATTAGTGTCCTGAGAATCTTTAGTAATTTCGATTCAAGTTCCATTTGCAAATTACCATGCCCTCACACAAAGGGTCATAAAAACTCTATCTTTCACACAAATATAGGGTTTGTTCTCATATTATCCATCATCCTTTATTCCCAGAAGTCTAAAGTGAGAATAAGGCTTCCTTTTCCTTTTGTTTTTCAGAGAATCTCTTTAATTAAACTGTCAGCTTCAATTCACACTCTGGTGAGTGAATCAGCCTTGTTAAGCAGCTTAAAAATAAAAGCGTGTGAGAAAGATTGAGAGTGAGACAACTCACCTCTTATCTGCCAGATCTGTTTTATTGCCCACCAGCATGATGATGACATCACTTCCTCTCTCCGTTCTCACGTCATCGATCCATTTGGAAGTTTGCTGGAATGAATTCACATCTTTATAGAGAAAAACAGAGACAAGTAGGTGGTAAATACTTTGTAGGGCTAACAGTGAAATAATCTAGATTTCGGACTCTGCTATTACTATTGGCTGTTTAATGTATCCAAAATAATTTGTGCGCCACTCTGTAAAGCGAGAGAGAGGCCGACCGAGGATGGTCCATGTGTACCCAGCTGAATATTGTTAAATATTGTTTTAAGATTAAATTTAAATTACAAGTTATCATATTTTTAATGTTCCATAATTGTTAATAAATGGCAAATTAAAAACAATCTGATAATTTGCAGTTTAGGCTGGTATACTGCATTAGACTGTAATGTTGAATGGCTACAATTACTACTTTTATGCCCAGAAATTGAAGGGAAAAAAATCTATTTAATAGAAGCATCAGAATCAGTAATTCAGGCCTTCATTCATAGTACTTAGTAAAAATATGCAATTAAATAAATATTTCAAATATTAAGTATTTCAAATACTATCTTTATGTTGTTTCCACATTTATCTGCATATTCAATGTAAAAATATTTATATTTTGAATAAAATAAAATAAAATAAAATTTTAATGTTAAGTGCAGTTAATTAGAGAAACCTGTTTAATCAGGTATTTATTTATTGATTTATTTTTAACTAATCGACAGCCATAACAGATTTATAAGTTGTGTTGATAATATCATTACTATTACCTATTTTATTTTTTTTAATCAGAATGTTTTAATTAGTTTTTTTAATTAGATTTTTAAAATTAAATTTACACTGTAGTTGAGCTTATATAATTTCTTACTTTAACAAAATGCAATAAATATATTGCAGCTATTGTACATCACTGTGTGCTGTTGACATATTGAAATATTCAACTGACTAATAAATTAAGGTTTTATTATGGCATTACGTCTGCTCATGTGCAGCCTGACATCAGTGAACCTGCTTCTGCTTCAAGGTGAAACTGACTTTGGCTGTTTTACCTAAATCAAGCTTTGTGTTTCCTGGTCACACCAACAGAGCTGTGTGCACCGTTTACTCTGTCTCTAAAAGTCCCAGTGGGGCTTACGGACAATAAAACCGTCATCTTTTCATTGTGAAAAATAACCTACATGCTTCTTAAATCTTTGGGGTTGAATCTATCTGGTTATAGTGCTAAACAAGGGCAGACCTGTAACACTTTACTGATAGAAAACGTCTCAGGTTACGCATAGGGGGCGCATTGGGGAATGCAGCCTGCATGACCGGTGTCTGAAGCACGTGTGAAACAACGCCAATCTATTGGCCCACCTGGCCTATGACGTCATAGGCGGGATGCCCGTAAGTATGGACCATTTCAACGGATAGAAATGGAAAATTATTTGAATGTAATTTCAGTATCTACTAATAAGAAAGCTATAAGGACTGATAGGATTTGCTCTGCCTTTGATCTCTTCATGTAATCATGTTTAGATGATGGCCCTCTTATCTTTATCTTTATTTTATTCTTTTTGTGATTTGTTTCCATTTTATTTTTGTGGTTGATATTATGTGATGTATGCTTATTCTTTGTATGTTTCCGTTCTCTGCAATAAAAAAAAATCAAGCTTTGTGTTTCCTGGTCACACCAACAGAGCTGTGTGCACCGTTTACTCTGTCTCTAAAAGTCCCAGTGGGGCTTACGGACAATAAAACCGTCATCTTTTCATTGTGAAAAATAACCTACATGCTTCTTAAATCTTTGGGGTTGAATCTATCTGGTTATAGTGCTAAACAAGGGCAGACCTGTAACACTTTACTGATAGAAAACGTCTCAGGTTACGCATGTAACCATGGTTCCCCAAGAGAGAACGAGACGCTGCGCCCCCTAGGGGGCACACTGGGGAATGCAGCCTGCATGACCGGTGTCTGAAGCACGTGTGAAACAACGCCAATCTATTGGCCCACCTGGCGCATGACGTCATAGGCGGGATGCCCGTAAGTATGGACCATTTCAACGGATAGAAATGGAAAATTATTTGAATGTAATTTCAGTATCTACTAATAAGAAAGCTATAAGGACTGATAGGATTTGCTCTGCCTTTGATCTCTTCATGTAATCATGTTTAGATGATGGCCCTCTTATCTTTATCTTTATTTTATTCTTTTTGTGATTTGTTTCCATTTTATTTTTGTGGTTGATATTATGTGATGTATGCTTATTCTTTGTATGTTTCCGTTCTCTGCAATAAAAAAAATCTCGGGGAACCATGGTTACATGCGTAACCCGAGACGTTCCCCTTCTAGGGAACTCAACGCTGCGCCCCCTAGGGGGCACATTGGGGAACGAAATCCAATCACGCCGTGCCGAGGCGCATGCCTGTCCACCTGGTGGGAGAGCACCAAGGAAACGACAGACATAAAGTCTTTCCTCAGAAAGGGGCCATGCCACTGACACCACGGGCCGCTCACGCAACTTGGCAGAAATGGGGGAACCTGAATAAATCAAGGGGAACATCCCATCCAAGTTAAGAGCACAGGTATCCTAGCTATGCTATGTGAGCAGAACTAGCCTGGATACACAAGACCACTAGGAATGGCTACCAGAATGGGGGCTTGACTGTGGCTGCCCAGACCACAAAGAGTGGGCTATCTACTTTCAACCCTAGCAGGGGAGATAGCGCTATCTAGGCGATGACTAAAGGAGACCACTACTTAAAGACACTAGGAAGGGGAGCAGTCACTGAGCTAGCACACAGATATCCTCAGATAGCTATGTACTAGGAATGGCTACCAGAATGGGGGCTTGACTGAAACTACCCAGACCACAAAGAGTGGGCTGTCTACTTGCAACCCTAGCAGGGGAGACAGCACTGTCTAGGTAAGGGCTCAAGGAGACCCCTACTTAAATATCCTAA